CGCACCTCATCCACGTCTTTCTTCAGGCCATGCAAATCACTGGGGACCAGCCGCAGACAGCCCAAGGGAAGGGAAGCGTTTAGTCCATTAATTCACATCTTGCCTCGCTCCAGATAAGGATCTGCGGCAACCTGCCAAGTTGCATAGAGTAAAGCAAGATTAAACGAAAAAAGGGTGGTGGCCCAAGAAAGGGAAATGACAAAGCTTGGGTTAAGGTTCATACCCCTAACGCAAGCGACCGCTAGAGGAGGGCTGCACAGTGAGCTTCCCAGCAGCCACAGCCAAGAAACACCAGGAGTTACCGCCTCCAAGACTTAAAACCAGCTCTACTGCCCAACTGCAGGCCTCCGGGCCTGAGAAACACTTCTCCCAGCCGTCCCCAGACACCTGACGGTCACAGATTCAACACATACTTACTGAGCATCATGTATATATGCAGTAGCTTTTAGTATATTCAGTTATGCAACCATCACCACAATCAATTTGGGAATATTTTTACCAATCTCAAAAGAAACCTCATACCCATTAGCAGGCTCCCCTCATTTCCCACCAAACCCCCAGGTGAGACAACCACTAACTACTTTCTGCCTCTACGGACTTGCCTTTCTGGACATTTCATATACACGGAATCATACAATACATGGCCATTTGTGACTGGCTTCTTTCACGGAGCACAATGTCTCTGCGGTTCATCCAGGTTGAAGCATGTGTCAGTGCTCCATTCCTTTTTATGGCTCAGTAATATTCCATGGCACAGAGTGACTGCACTGTCTTCATCCATTCATCTGTGGATGGACATTGGGGTGTTCCCACCTTTTGGCGATAACGAAGAATGTTGCTGTGTACTTCTGTGTGCAGGTTTTTGCGTGGACCTGTTTTCATTTCTCTTGTGTAGACACCAAGGAGCAGAAGTGCTGGGTTGTATGGTGACTCTAGATCTAACTTTTTGAGAAGCTACTAGTCAGCCTTTTCACCACAGTGGGACTTTTTGAGTTTTTAAAGTGTTCCTTCTAGTACCCAAATTTTGGTCTCTAAACACCATTCCTCACTAAAAGGAACCAAGACTCCATAGAGAAATGGCTGATTCAGGTCTGAGGAAGGAGATGCTGAAGATGGCCTGGAATATCTTGGTCATTTAAGAAAGCAAGATAGCTATATGAGACAGAGGGTCAAGTTCAAGGGCTCAGAAACCAGTCTGCAGGCCAAAGATGAGACCACCTGAGTGACAAAATAAATAGTAACTGAATTGATTGACTGAATTGAGTACATAAAAGAATAATACAGAGTGACACAAAAAAGAAATCAGAAAATAATAGAAACGCTCATTTGCCACCATGTATTGGAGGTGGCTATTACACCAATATCTTACCCTGAAAACTGGTAATTAATGGGAATAGTTCACCATAGTTCCTGTATTTCCTGCAAGCACCCTATTGCACAGCAGTCAGCTCAACTTGATGAGGGATTTCTAGCTCATAAGTAGAGAAGTAATGCTAGGGTTAGAAAAATCACCATTTTGCAAACTTTGTGAAATAGCTGGTTAGGCAACAATCCTCAACTTATAAGGAAATTACCAGGATGGCCAGTGAGGCAATGGACATTCCTGGGTGCCAAAGAGTGCCCCCCAAATTACTTGCATCTCATAAGGAGAGAACATGCCTTTATGCTGGTGGTGCCAGGCTAGCACTGCTGGGCCCTGATGAGTCTGTGTCATTGCTGAAGGGACCCCCCGCCAGCACGACCTAGCCACCGACAGGATGTGTGCTACGTCCCAGGAAGATTCTTTACCCGACTTTCTGTTTTGAAGACTTTAAAACCTATAGAAAAGTTATAAGAATAGTCTAAAAGACACTCACATATCCACTTAAATTTACCAATGTTTAAACTTTTTTTGCCATGTTTTCTTTATCTGTATGTGTGTGTATGTATATTTGTTTTCTGAACCATTTGAGAGTTCACTGCAGACATCACAATAAATCATCCCTACAGAAAGTTAAATACAGAATTACCATGTGACCCAGCAATTCCACTCCTGGGTATCTACCCAATAGAACTGAAAACAGATGTTCAAACAAAAAGTTGTACATGAATGTTCACAGCAGCATTATTCACAGGAGTCAAAAGATGAAAATAACCCAAGTGCCCATCAATGGTGATCAAATAAACATTAATGTAGGGCATCCATTCAATGGAATTTTCTTCTGCCATAAAAAGGAATGAAGTTCTGATTCATGCCACAGCATGGATGAATCTTAGAAACATGCTAAGTGCAAGAAGTCACAAAAATTCACAGAGTATAGGGCTCCATCTACGTGAAATTTCCAGAATAGGTAAATCCAGAGACACAGAAAGCAGACTAGTGGTTCTGAGGGCTGGGGGGGAGGATGGGTCCTGGATTTCCTTCGGGGGCCGCGGGGGGGATGAAAATGCCTCAGAACTAGATAAAGGAGGTGCTTACGCAGTACTGTGAATGTAGGAAATACCACAGAATTAGTCACTTTAAAACAGTTAATGGTTAAATAGTTAATTTTGTTGTGTGAATTTTACCGTAACTAAAACCATAGGCAGGAAAGCAAAGCAATGAGAATCGGATCACTTAAAACAACAATTCGAAAATTAAGAAAAACTTCAAATACATGGACAAGTGAAAAGACTGGAATAATTAATACCCATATATCTATGATCCAGATTTAATAATTATTAACACGTTGCTATATCTGCCTTTTGTTTTTAATGGAGTATTTCTTAGACAGTTACAGAAATCATGACATTTCTCATAAATATTTTAGGAATTATGAGGACATTTTCTTACACAATACTGTTATCACATCTAACACAATAAACAGTAACTCTTGACTTTGATGTAATTTCCAGCCCATTTTTAGAGCTGTAGCAATCGAACCACAGAACAAGCAAAGTTTCCTTGTGTGTTACATCTGGTTATTTTGTCCCTTAATTTAAAGTCTCTTAATTTTGTCCCTTAATTTAAGAGTCTTAATTTAAAGTCTCTCCGTCCCCAGTTTATTTCACCCTGCTATGGAAATTAGAGAAAAAGAATAGGCCCACTGTTGTGTAGATAAACTGTAGTTATTCCAGCTGTAGGTCTGCATGGATGTGTATGATCTCTAAGACTAATGTGTCTCCACGACAACCTGCCCCACAGCTGTTTTTCTGCTATATCCCCAGTGACGAGCAGGGTAGGGGCCCAACACACAGCTGACGAATGAGTGAATCCTCACTTTTACAGACGAGGAAACCGAAGCTCAGAAAGGTTCTGTAAGTCAGGGTGCACTGCTGTGCAGCTGGGGCTGAGGCTTGGGCCAAGATGCCTGATTCTACACCCGAGTTCTTGCACCTCTTGGTATTCACGCCTGTGTGTGCTCCCTGGTCGCACTGAATAGGGCTGACCTATGCAGCCAACAGGGCGTCACAGAAACGGTGAAGCGTGCCTTCTGTGGCTAAGACACGGGAGACGTTAAGCTTCTGTCCTGCTCTCTCGGATCACTCGCCCTAGCGGCTGTCAGCTGCCGTGCTGAGGCCACTCGGGCAGCCCTGGGGAGGAGGCCATGCGATGAGGAAGGGAGGGGTCTGGTCAACAGCCATGTGAGGGTGCCGGCTTGGAGATGGCCCCTCAGATGGCCGCAGCCCAGGATGACCTCTGGACCACAACCGCATGGAAGACCCTGAGCCACCCAGCTAAGTGACTCACAAATTCCTGACCCTCAGAAACCATGAACACTTATTGTTTGAAGCTGCCAAATTTCAGGGTGACTTGTTATGCAGCAAGTGATAACTAATACAAGGGCGCTCACCGTGGTGCTCCAGTCCTTACTCAGCGCTCCTCAGCCTTCTTCCAGCCATCCTCACGGGTCCCAGCCCTGAAGAGCAGGCCCTGCATCATCTTGCTCAGCTCCACTGCCACTGCCTCCAGGTCAGCCCTGCTTGCTTTGCCTGCCAGGGCACTCCTGTCAGGCTTCTAGAGGAAGAGGGGACTCAGAAAGCAGGGGTGCTGGTGGGGGGCAGTCAGACCCTTTGGTTAATTTTTCCTAGTTTGGGACCCTGGACATCTGGCCTTGGCTTAAATTCAACCATGGGGTCCAGGTTGACTCACACATAACCGTCAGATCTAAGCCAAGGTCTTACTGTGCATGATTTTTAAGTTCGCATGACAAGTTGCCGCTAATCGAGTCACTGAAAATAGGAGTTGATGAGACAAGCTTTGAGAAGCTTCCCTGGCCTTTCTATATGAATAAAGGGGGAGGAGGGAGGCTCTGGAAGTTTCTCTGCCTTGGCTGGATGATCCCAGTTCTTTGGGGCAGCAGGGCTCACAGGGGAGCAGGACGGAGAAGGAATCTGCTCACTCACCTCTTTCAGCTCCTGCTCCATCACGCTTCTGTCCACCTTGTGCATTTCTAGGTTTTTCACCTGAGCACGGACAACCTGAGAACAGAAGCAAAGGGCGTACCAGCCGTCCTCAGCAGCCCAGGGATAATGTCTACCTGCCACACCAGCCTTGCCATGTGCTGGCAAGAGACAGTGGGGCCAGGGGGGCACAGGTAGGGTGGGCAGCTGAAGGCTGGGGCTCCAGGGCTCTGGGTGCCCGGATCAGGAAGGAAGGGCCTGGGATGAGCTGCCCCCTTGGAGGTGGGTCCCAGGCCTTCGCTGACGGGCGGTGTACCTGGCCAAGGGGAGCACAGGCCAGTGATGTGAGTCGGCACTCTAGGTGTTGCCAGCACGCTCACCTCTCCTGGTGGTAATGGGGTAATGGGGTCTCTGGGAACTGCAGGCTCTTCATCAACCAAGCACTTACATGCCACACACTGTGCCCGAGTGTCGGGAGAACCCTTATTCCCCATCCCCAGGTCTCTATGGAGGACCAACTCCCTCTGTGAATTCCGCCCTCTCTCCACTTGCTGGACCTTCCTGGTCACAGCAGGACCTAACCTGCGTGGGAAGAGCCCACCTGTACTGGGCCACATCCCCAGAGGCTGGGGTCACTTTGGCTCTAAAGCCGGAAGCAGGCTTCTACTTCTCCCCTCATATCTGGTCTCCCTCTCACCCTTGGGAACAGAACCCCCAGCTTTCAGTTGGCATCTGGCACCCCTGAATCATGGCTACGTTTCACAGCCTCCCTAATAGCTGTGTGACCACTGGGACATAAATGGAAGTGGGTAGGAGTCCTTTTTGCTGCTGGTTTGAATGCAGAGTTAATGACTGGAGCAGGAGCAGCCATCTTGGACTTTGAGGTGACCTTGTGAATGGAGGTCACACAGCATGGAGTTCTATACCAGCTCTGTCTCTAAGCTGCTTGAATGTGAAAGAGAAATACACCTACACTTTGTTTAAGTCAGTTATTTGGGTGTTTTATATTCAAAGTTGAACATAATTCTGCTTAATGCAAAGCTCCATCACATCCACCTTGCCCCCAAGTGGGTCACAAAGTCAGTGGAGATATGGAGGGAAGCTCCCGTTTCGGCCTTGAGCCAGGTCGCTTTGTTCGACCCCGCGTTAGCAGGGGGCTCTGACCGTTTGGAGTCATCAGGTGCAATGTCAATACTTAAGTCTCCACTTGGCTCTTTCTAGTTAAGATCTAGAAATGAAGAGGAGTGATTAGCCAGGACCCTGTGACTTCCACTGCCAGGGCCACCTGTGCGTGGGGTTGACTAGTATCTTCCCCAAACTTCATGCTCGCCCAAAACCTACGTGCATGGCCTCATCTGGAAATAGGGTCTATGCAAATATAATTAGCTAAGATGAGGTCATACTAAATTAGGGTGGGCCCTAAATCCAATGACGGGCATCCTTATAAGGAGGCCATGCAAAGACCAGATACAAGGAAGAGGCCACGTGATAGGCAGAGGTTGCAGTGAGGTGTCCACCACCCAAGGAACAGCTGGAGCCACCAGAGGCTGGAAGAGGCGGGGAAGGACCCTCCCCTAGAGCCTTCAGGGAGAGCAAGGCCCAGCCAACACCCAGATTCAGGGCTCTTAGCCTCAGAGCTGGCAGAGAACACATGTGTATCGCCTCCCAGTCTGGGAGTGATCACTTATTACAACAGCCACAGGAAACTGATACACCCGGTAAGTGGCAGGGCGGCGATTCAAACCAGGCCTACCCAGCTCCAAACTACCACGTCAGCCCACCTCCGGCCAGGCGAGCTCGGCTGGTTTCTTTGCCTGGATCTGTCGCCTCCTCTTTCAAATGGTCTCGATCCCACTCCCCTCCCAAAGCTGAGGAGGGGCCTGGAAACAGTGTCTGGCAGGCTTGTGGCAGAATAGCACCCACCACACAGTCTTCTCCAGCCCCAAGTCAGAGCTCTGAATACATTATACAGTTTGCTCCAAGAATGGCTCTGGAATGCAACCTCTGGCTCTTCTGTCCACGGGCAAAGGATAAATAACATTATCCATAGAGTCTATTAGAAGCTCTGTTCTCACTCATTTGCTGGCTGCGTTCTTAGTGGGGAGTGCTCTAAGGTAATGGAAAAGTTTCCAACCTGATTGGGTGGTGGTGACATAATATGGGCATTTTATAATACATAAATGACACTTCATTTAAAACCAAACAAATACGAGCATCCCCCCAAACACAGAAGGGCCTGGGTGCGGTCCCTCCTGCAGACTGCTGTATCGCCTGGCTGCTGCACGTGGCCCGCCGGTACCGTGGGCTCCCACCTTCCACCAGAGTGGAGGCTCAGTAACACCGGCCGAGTGGCTCAGTGAGTGAACAGAGGATTTCTGGGGTTCCCTGTCCGTTCATATTTCTTCACGGACATCCAGGTAAAGCAGTAACGGCGGTGTGTCTGTGCCATTCCAGACGTTAACGACAGAACGGCCGATGCATCCGTGCTCCCTTGTTTCCCTTGGGGAGAGCTGGACGGGGTTGCTGAGGTCTTGCAACATGCATTCGTTTAAGAAATATTTAATGAAATGTGCTGTATGCAAAGCTCCATTCCAGGGTTAACCTTTACAAGCAATTAATTCCTGTTGGCACACAACAGGGATGGGCAGCAAGTGGGGACAAAGGCTGACTGGCTCCCTTTGGCATTGCTTGGCCAGGCCTCACCCTTGAGTTTTCAGCAAGTGACAGCTTTGTGGCCACAGACACGGGGACATTTCCCCTGCTGTGCAGAGAGGGGCAGAGGGCTGGGCTCATCAGACGCCCTGGGCTCCAGGGAGGAAGAGCGCTAAATGTCTCTGGGGCACGGGAACCCGGCCACTTTGAAGAGCAGTGACTGGGGGCCCAGAGCTGGCAGGGACCATGTAGCCCCTGACCTTGGTACCCGCAAAGACCTAAGCCTCCGACCCTACAAACCCTTCACCCACATGGCCCAGGAGCTCTCCCTCTCCCTCCCTTAGGTGAGGACTTGGGTCCCCTTTTATGAGTTCTTTTCCCTTCCAAGCTGCCCCGTGGTGTCCTGGCCTGATTACCCTGTGGCCGCCTTAGGAGGAGGGAGGTGCCCTCCCCTTTCACCTCCCACATCCCCATGCATCCGCCAACATCCCCCTGACTTGGGGTCAGAGCCCTGACCTCCTGTGGTTCTGTTTGGGATTTTGCCTCTTTTTAATTTGGGAGGTCATCTCCTCCTACTGGGAATGACCTTGATCCCTTCTCCAAAGGTCGGGGACACTGACGGGACAAAGCACGAACTGAACTAGTCCTGAGGACCATCAGGCCAGAGTCATCAGGCCAGCACAGCGAGTTGGGACCTTCAGGTCCACAGACGAAGGTGCAGGCCGCATGAGCCCCCGCGGGTGCTCTGTACCTGCCTCCACATCTCTCACGGCAGCAACCCTGCGTTCAGGAAGGGCCCTGTGGCACTGGAAACTCGGAAACCAGCTAGCTTAGGGGACATGTTAGGAACAGAACAGTTGGCATAAGAAATCCTCCTATTCATTCATTGATTCATTCAGCTTATTTTGGGCCTTTGCTGTGTGCCAGGCATGTTCTAGGGGCAGCCGACTGGGCAGTCAACAAGGCGGACACCATCCAGGCCCCCTTGTGTATATGTGTGAGTGGGGGGGGTGAGGGGGCGGGATTTGTTCACTTACAATTGAAGTGTAATTCAGGCACTGTAAAATGCCACACGTCCCTGGGTTCCCCTCCTTCGTTGCATCTGGGAAACCTTTGGGGAGGGGCTGCGCGTCCTGATGAGTAGTCCACCCTCCACTGGCCCCAGGTCCTCAGACGTCCGCACCTTTAGCTCATCCAGGTGAGCCTGCAGCTTTCCACTGCCCTCCCCAGCACCATGTAGTGATCCTTCATCATCCCGATTCGGTGGCCCCCAATCCTCTCCAGTTCCTCCTCCTAAAAGGGGGAGACAGACACCGAAGCCTCGGCCTCCCATGGCTGGGAAGGGTTGTAAAGAGTGTCCCAGACCAGCGCTCTTCAACCTGCCATCTCAACAGCCACCTGGGACACCTGCTGGGGAGCCACACGGCGGCCCACCCACTGGGACCCCTGCAGCTGCCGGAACCACCTCTGCATGGCCGCAGCTGCCTCCTGGGCCCATGCGTGCCCCCCGGCCTCCTCTAAGCTGCAGGGTGGAGGCTGCACCGGCAGGGCAGGAGCTCTGTCTGGCTCCGGATCAGGGAGTCTGCCGTCGGCTCACCTCAAGCCATCATTTTCTCCAAAGCTCTTCCCCCCAGGACTCTGACCTTCATCCTGGATTGCTGGAGGGTGACAGTCTTTTCCTGAAATATGTCCACTGCCGTCCCAAGCTTGGAAGGGGTGCCCATATTAGCTGAAAGCGAAGGAGAGGGTGGCTGTTGGCGGCAGGGATGGGGGAAGATGCTCTGTCTAGAGCGCTACCTGCTTCTGCAGATGTCTGAGGTGCACTGTCTCTGAGAAAGATGCTGTGAGCTGGGGGGCCTTTGAGGTCATTTGAAAGTTTCTAGTAGCCAAATTTTAGGAAGTCTAAAAAGAAGCAGGTGAAATTAATTTTAATAAAATATTTTAATTGGCCCCATATATCCAAAATAGTATCATTTTAGTGTGATCAAAAAAATACTGAAGCATTTTACATTCTTGTTTTTGCACTGAGCCCTCAGTGGCGTACGTGCACTTCACACGTAGCATGTGAGCTGCAACTCACCGTGTTCAATCACTCAGCAGCCTCCTTGGGTGCTCGGGGTTCCTGGTTATGTGCTGGACACAGCAGGCCTAGGAAAACCTCTCTGGAATAATTTACTTTCCTCCCAGGAATGGCCCTGAGCAAAACTATGACATACCTTACTTATGGAGTATATGAAGTTTATTATGCTACCACAAGACAGAGAGGGAGATTTAACAAAAAAGGAGAGGGGTTAAAAAAAGTGCCCTATATCCAGTTCCAGATGAGAGGCCAGAACGTGATGTTCAGGTCACAGCTAGGAGGTGTGGAAGATCGCAGCCAAGATATGTTCACAACCTATCTTTAGAGTTTTTAACAAAAATGGCGGACAGCCAGAAGCAGAATTTTGGCTATTATGGTTTTACATCTTAAATTTAAATTTATTACTCTTATAATCTCGGCTGTGCACCAGTATTCACTGATACCAATACGGTTCTTTTTAGCTCTGTGAAGTTCTACTTTTTTTCGAGATTTGCGGAACAGCACAGCTGATCAGGGGGTGGCACCCCATGCGGATCTGACCTGCGTTAATTCAACTATTGTACTTGGCAGAAAACCAAAAAGCAGCATCACGATTCCAAGAGGGGAGGGTGGTGGGTCTCACGACGGGTTCCCTGCCTCAGCAGCTTCACCTGGAATGGGTTAGAAAGACAAACAGACCCCACCCAGATCAGCTGAGTCAGGAACTTTGAGGGGGGAGCCCAGGAGCTTGGTCACCGAGCCCCTCGAGGACGCTGGGGCGAACTCAAGGTTGAGGACCACGAAGTAGGGATTCTGCCCCCTCCTCCCCTCAGTGCGGGCACACCCATCAAGGCCGTGAAGTGGGAGCATAAGCCTACCGTCCCACCCAGATTGTGGCTGTGTCCTTAAAGATGTGTGTGTTGGCTCAACTGTCCCTGACCCCAAGCTAACCGCCTCATCTGGGGTATGTTTAGTGCCATCAGGCACTCTGGCTGATTCGGACTCATCCCAACAGCCCGTCTTATGCGCTACTGAAGGGGAGTCTTCAAGAGTAATTTTGACATGCAATTTTCCTCCTTAAGTGGCAACTTTGGGCCCTAACTGCCCCTCTCCCCTGAGATAAGACCTCACTGTATATTCACTGTAAAAGAACCGACTAGCAAGAGGCTAATGCTTAAGTCAAAGGAATGAATGGCTAATGGTTAAGTGTAGATTTTGCTGGGGAAGGTAAACCAAGGAGAGGAGGTGCTTCACGAAGCCCGCAACCTCTGCTGCCCTTTCCCAGGGCCAGGCCAGGCCTACCTAGGTTGCCAGCCTTTCCCAGGGCCAGGCCAGGCCTACCTAGGTTGCCAGCCTTTCCCAGGGCCAGGCCAGGCCTACCTAGGTTGCCAGCCTTTCCCAGGGCTGGGCCAGGCCTACCTAGATAGGACAAGCGCTGCTGCAGGTTGGATGACAGCTGGGCAAACTCTTCTTGCAGGTAGTTGTGTCTAACAGGCATCTGGGCTATATGGCTCATTGCATACCTGACAGCTGCCTTCCTGTCTTCGGGAGTCACAGCCTGTTCAGTGGCCAGTATGGCCTGGGACAGGGCCACATCGGGAGGGAAGTTAGCAGTGTACAGAGAGGGTACGTCAACATCCACCTCCGGCAAGTCTTCCGTTTCGGTGTTGCCAGTGAAGTCCACAGAGGCTGCGGCCCCACGGGAAGGGCCCATGTGCAGGACGTCTGCAAACACCCCTAAGGGCCCAGATGTGGCCACGGTCGTCGCAACGGCAGCCGATTTGGTAGCAGGGGCATCCTGGATCACCCTGGCAGTGTCCTCGGCTGCCGGGGCTGCCGAGTGGGCAGCAGCTGCATAGGTGGCTGCAGTAGCAGCCGCAACGGTAGCAGTGGTTTCCAATCCGCTGGACGGCAGGCCGGGAGTGCTTAGGGAGTGCTTCCTGGGGGGCCTCGGCCTCAGAGGCCCTATCCTCAGGGGCCGTCATGTGGCGGGAGAGATATTCTTCATTTTCCGAGACAGACAGGAGTCGGTTCATCTCTGCCTGGTGAGACTGTGAGTGCAGTGGAGGAGGCCATGCGAGCCGGGCTCTGAGGCTGGTGGTGGGGATCTGAGGCCCTGGGTCTGGGCAGGCAGGGGTCTGATGGGCCTGGGCCAAGCTGGGTGTGGCCGAAGCTCCTGAAGGGCCAAGCTGGAGCCCCAGGCAAGCCTCTAGGAGCAGCCCAGCCTCCTGACACCTCAGGCCAGAATCCTGGCAGTGTGGGCTCCAGGCCTGGGGCAGGCCCAGGTCCAAACCCAGGCCAAGGAGCTGGCATGACCCCAGCTGCTGGACTGGGCCCCACCTCAGGCCCCGGCTCTGGCACAGGCGCCGGAGCAGCCGCAGGCTCGGGCTCCAGCCCCAGCACGGGCCTAAACCCAGGCCCAGGCTCAGGCTGCCCTGGCCCCCGGGGCCGTGAGTGGCACTGCTTGGGCAGGCTCCTCCTCCTCCTCCTCCAGATGCCCCGGGACCTGGTGACGCCAGACCGTCTCCAGGAGCTCGGGGTGATGGGCAGCCTCCAAGACTTGGACATGACCAAAATCTTCAAGATACTGGGTGGCCTGGGAGAGGTCGGCGGCTGTGAGCTCCTCTGAAACCCGCCGTAGCTCAGAATTCTCCAGCTGCTCTGAGGGAGTCGCCTGCGGAACACAGGGCTGGGCTGGTCAGGGCTGCTTCCCGCCAGCTCGGGTCACCCTGCCCACGACCTCCCCGTTCCTGGCCCTCCGCGGCTACCCCTCTTCCTCCTCCTCCACTCACCGGGGTGAACATGGCCTCATGGAGGCCACTCCAGAGTACTATGTCCTCGGTTTTTGGGGTGGTGAGTACCCTGTTCTGGAGAGAAATCTGGGGGGTGGAGAAGGTTGGGAATGAGGGCTGTGAACCTAGAGGGCATGATGCCCGCAGGTGGCTGCCCTCCACAGAAATACATAGGCCTTTCCAGATTGCGCTCTCCCCACCTCCCTGGGCTTGGAGGAAGGGGGGCAGGGGCGGGAGGGGGGGCTGGGGCCCTCACCACTTCCTGTTGCAGTGCACTCATTTTCCCGTTCCGCCCTTTCACAGCTTCACACAAAGTGTCTGTCCCTTCTGCATCCATCTGTCAAATAAGCCAAGCGCCCCCCAGGTTCTGGTCTCAGCTCTGCTTCTCCCACAGCCCGAATGCAAGAACTTAGTTCTAGGGGACTAAGAGTTAGAGAAGAGAGATTCTAAAGCAAATGTTTCCCAGTGGGTAAGGGTAGAAAAGGGTTCCCTAGGCATATAGGTTTGGGACATACTGGGCTTAAAAAACATTCAATGGGTTTCTGTACTGCAGGACTTCTCAGAGCCTTTAACAGGCAAAAGTACAATAAGAATCTCCAAGAGGTGGGCTGAGGAGGCATTTTTTTCCTCAAACATATTTGTTCAAGGGTCCTTTTCTCTCCTCGGAAGTCTCTAGAATCAGGACAGAAGACAGAGAGTTCCTGGAGTTAGGAAAGTCCAGATTTTGAGAAGAGGCTGTAGAGAAGAGTCTGAAAATTGGGCTGTTTTTGGGACACAGGCCAAATACCCACAGGTGCTCCCGTTTCTGGAGGTGGGTGGAAGGTGAGAAGGGGCCCTGTAGGGCCTTACCCACTGGGGGCCATGATGAGGATGCCCTCCCCAAACCTTGCTCTGCTCCTGCCTTGGCCCAGGGCTCACCAAGGCCCCAGTGCTCTAAAGGCCTTAAAGACATGGCCACGACCAGCTGTCACGGGCTTTTGGGCCCCCATGTGGCCAGGCCCCACTTTTGTCAATTCTTGGACAAGAAAATGGCAGCCTGCTCATCTGGTCTCCTAGGGAAGTCTGCAGGGAAGGTCCTGCACTTCACCCTGGAGGCCCCGCCCTGGCCACCCCAGAGATCCTTCATACGATACTCACTGCACATACACGGCGCTCAGCTTGAGCCCAGCTCAGGGTTCAATCCCTGTAGAAGAGCTGGTGCTGGGCAGCGGATCACCTCTGCACTTCAGGTGTATGCAGGTGGCCCCGTGGCTTTTTCAGCTGCTGTGTGACCGCATGCAGATGACCTAACTTCTGAGTCTCAGATTCCCTGCCTGCTAAGTGGAAAATAAAACCTCCCGCACAAGGGCGCCACGGAGACGGTGTATGTAGGAATAAACGTGTAAAGCGCCAGGCCAGCGCTGACTCCAAGAATTCCCTTCCCAGAACTGACCCGGTGTTTCACTCTTACCAGTGACCACGGCCAGGGGACAAAGAGCCCAGGGAGATTCGTTCTGAATTTCACGTAAGGATGTTTTCAGGGATGTTGCTCACTTAATCACGTGTTCTTGACCTCACGCCACCAAATGCTTCTGCTGAGGCCATTGCTACTCTGTCCACAAAGCCCTGTTCTTTGGGAACAGTGGGGACCAATGCTGGGAACTCTGTGCTTTAGGAGTCAGTAGGTTCTCTTCAGACATGCCAGCCTGCTTGAAGGAACGAATTCCCCTAAAGGAATGTGCCCACTTCGAAAGGCAAAAAAAAAAAAAATGAACCAACGTCGTAATTCAACTTGTATGGCACTTGTACCCCCAATTCAGTCTGCGCCCACTCAGATACTATTTTTTTTTTCTAACAGCTTTTCTGAGATATAATTCCCATACTATACAATTCACCCATTTAAAGTTTACAATTCACTAACTTTACTTATACCCACCTGCTATACACTCACTTACACACTCACGTATTCAGGGTGATTTGGGACACTTTCAGATATTTAAAATTACCGCCCCTCAGAGGATCGCGTTTCCCTGAAAAGGACACCCAGAGGTCTCTGGAAGGGTGCAAGCACAGGCCGCCTGGGGGGGCGGCCCAGAGGGATGCTGGCCTCTCCTCACGTGCGCTGTGGCTGCGGCTCCCACAGCAGGGCAACACAATGGGAAAAGGCCACCCAAAGTTTGTCTCAGACTAGCAGGTGCCATAAATGCTGTAAAGGATAATGTCCACTCCAACAGAGCAGGAGAAATGTGACTCATTTGCAGAGCATGATGCCCTGAATTCCTTCTTGGCTAGCTGAGGGGGATTTTATGCCGGCGAAAATACTTCTCCCTGCACCTATGTAAACACTGCATGAATACCATGGATTAAGTAGGACAGTTTGTGACTAGGCTTTAAAAAAAAGAAGGCACCCTCTTGACGAACCAGAGCTTTAGTTCCTGCTTTATCCCTCTGCCTTTTAGATGAGATCAATCAAAATGCCTGTTCATAGAATGACTGACCCCTGCCTCCTGACAGTGCCCAATCCAGAACAATTCCCCAAAGGACCTAACAGAGGCGCAAATCCTGGAGGTCCTTCTGACCCAACCTTCCTAGAGATGCCCCCTGGCTTCCCCACTGGCACTGCAATATTGTCGTCCAGGTGCTGAATCATTTTGTATCCCTCACAGCAATGCACAAAGGTTCCAGTTTCTCCATTTCCTCTCCAGAACTTGTGATTTTCTGTTTTTTTCTGATAATAGCCACCCTAATGTGTGTGAGGTGATATCTCACTGTGCTTTTGATCTGCATTTCCCTAATTAGTGATGCTGAACATATTTTCATGTGCTTAATGACCATTTGTATCTTTGGAAAAATGTTTACTTAAGTCCTTTGCCCACGTTTTAATCAGGCTTTTTGTTGTTGTGTGGTTGCTGAACTGTAGGAATGCTTTTTATCAACCACTCATCAGATACATAATCTTCAAATTAACTTTCCTTTAGTCTCTTTGTCCTTGCTCCCTTCTGGCACAGGTCCTTTGCACATGCAGTCTTCCTGGCTGAAACTTTCTCCTCCCCATCTTTACCTGGGAAAGGAAACTCCTACTCATCATTCAGACCTCAGCTTAGCCACCACTTTCCAAGGGAAGCCTTCCCCACCTCCTCAATTAGGGCAAGTGCCCCCACTCTGGGATCTTAGTACTTCTTGTATCTTTCCTTCACAAGCTCATCATGGTCATTTGTGTGGCTATTTGATTAGTGCTGTATTCTCCCACTACTCTGAGTTCCTGAAGGTAGATTGTATCTTCCTTTCAACAGCAAATGGCTCCTAAGGAGCGCATGGTAGGTGCTCAATAAATACTGATTGATTAGATAAATAAAAGAGTAATTTGTAGAAAGCCTTTTTTCCTAGGAACCTCCAGGTGGGTATAGGATGACTGATTTTTACCTTCTGCCATAGCAATATTGAGCTGCTCCTATTGACCCACATAAGGTGAATTAAATAACACATAAAAATCTTTAAGTCAATCTGAAGTTACATAGTATGCTCCTTAATGATATATCCAGGGAACTACTGTGTTCAGACAATGAATGTGCATTTCTTTAACTCAAACGCTAGCCCTACAAGACAGGGATCACCCTTATTTATTAAATCTTTTTTTTTATTAAGGTATCATTGATATACACTCTTATGAAGGTTCACATGAAAAACAATGTGGTTACTACATCCACCCGTATTATCGAGTTCCTCCCCCACCCCATTGCAGTCACAGTCCATCAGTGTAGTAAGATGCCACAGAGTCACTATTTATCTTCTCTGTGCTCCACTGTCTTCCCCATGACCCCCCCACACCATATGTACTAATTACAATGCCCCTCAGTCCCCTTCTCCCTCCCTCCCCACCCACCCTTCCACCCACTTCCCTTTGGTAACTACTAGTCCCTTCTTGGAGTCTGTGAGTCTGCTGCTGTTTTATTCCTTCAGTTTTGCTTCATTGCTATACTCCACAAATGAGGGAAATCATTTGGTACTTGTCTTTATCCATCTGATTTATTTCACTGAGCATAATGTCCTCCAGCTCCATGTTGTTGTAAATGGTAGGATCTGTTTCTATGGCTGAATAATATTCCATTGTGTATAATATGTCCCACATCTTCTTTATCCATTCATCTACTGATGGACACTTAGGTTGCTTCCATATCTTGGCTACTGTAAATAGTGCTGCAATAAACACGGTGCATATGTCTTTTTGAATCTGAGAACTTGTTTCTTAGGATAAATTCCTCGGAGTGGAATTCCCGGGACCCTTATTCATTATTATTATTATTTTTGTAGCTCTTGGAATATATGATCCCACTGCCATGTAGTCTCCATTGTTTTTGATGATGAATTAGCTGTTAAACCTTATCTGGGTTCCCTTGCAGATGATGAATCATTTTTTCTTACTCTTTTCGAGATTTTTTCTTTGTCTTTTAACTATATTGACTGTGGGTGTGAATCTCTTTGCATTTCTCCTACTTGGAGTTTGTTAAGATTCTTGGATGTATAGATTTTTTTAAGGACATATGGGACTTCTCAGGCATTATTTCTTTGAATATTTTTTGTTTCTTTCTCTCTTCCTGCTCCTGACACTTGCATTGCATGTCCTACATTTTGTGGAGGCTCTGTTCCCTTTATTTTCTCCCTGTTTTGTAGACTGCATAATCTCTGTCTATCTAGCTTCTGGTTTGCTAGTTCTTTCCTCTGCCCATTGAAGCACTCTTGTTTTACAGATGAGGAAACAAGGATCAGAAAACTTAAACGTTTACTGAAGGTCGCACACTGCTAATAAGTGGCAGAGCCAGGGCTTGAATCTGAGACCTCAGCTCTCATCCCGCTTGTCAGACTTAATCGTTCACTCGATAAATATTTACCGAATGTTGACTATGTGGCAGAAACAATTCTAGAGGCTAGAAAACACCAGATGAGATTCCTACCCTCCAGAGGACAGCAAATAAGAAAACAAACAGATAAATAAGGTGCCTCGGATTGTGGCATGTGCTGTGAAGAAAATGAAGCAGGCAATGAGACAGCAGGGAGGGGGACCCGTCTGCAGATGACACATGAGCAAGACCTGAAGACAGGGCATTCCTGGAGCTCCTTCAGCTCAGGGACCCCTCCGCTGCCTCTCTGCCTCTCTAGCGCCAGAACACAGAGCCCAGCACAGAGGAGGCACTCAGTACATGTTTGCTAAATGGATGATAGCTGCAAGGGAGCCATCAAACCCCATGAAGAGCCATTAAAGACAGAAATACTACAAAACAGACATTAACACTGCCATCATTCATGCTTCTGTTTAGAATTGTATAGCATTTAAATTTGAAGGTCTGGAAATACCATGTGTTGATGAGGGTATGGCCAGCAGAACCCTCATATGCTCTGGTGGTGTGTTAATTGGTAGAAACAGTTTGCAAAACTTTGTGGCAGGTTCTACACAGCCGAATGTAGGAATACCCTATGACTCAGCTATTCCACCCCTCTACAGGCACCCAACAGAAATATACTCATGCCATGCACTAGAAAGTCTATGACATCAACACCTTAATAGCCGAAAAGTCCCATGTGGAAATTACCCAGATGCTCATGAACAGCACAACAAACGATGGTGTATTCACATAATGGACTATCACACGGCAATGAGGAGATGAACTCTGACAACTACATGCACCAAGATGGACAACATTCTTAGATGTAAAATTGAGCCAAAGAAGCCATATCCTAAAGAGCTCATGCCATATGAATCTATTTCTATAAAAAGTACAAAAGTAGAGAAAACTAATCTTTTCTGCTACAAGTCAGGAGCGTGGTGACCCTGTGGCAGCCTCACACTTGGAAAAGGAGCATGAGGCTGGCTGCTGGGGGCCAGTAGGCCGGCGTTTTCAGTTTGTGGAAATGTATCATGTACACTTCTGATAAGAGCTCTTTTCTGTATCAAAGGTCTGGGAAACTGCAACAATCCAAACAAATCAATGGCCCAACGATGTGGATCCCATGGGGTGGTGGGCTCCCTACTGCCCTATTCTGGACAGAAGTCAGATTTTTGCAAAGAATGGGCCTGAGTATGACAGTTTCCTCTCTCACCTCATTTGTGGAGAGCAGCCTGGGTGGGGAGACCATCTATCCAGTCCCACGAGCTGGGGTTTGCTGGCTACTGGCTCTGCAACTCTGAGCACGTTATGCTGTCTGCTCAGGGTTGGGTCAATGCGCACAGGCTCCTTGTGGGATCCAAGAGAGGTGGGCATGTAAAGTGCTTAGCATGGTACCCAGCACAGGTTAAGTGGTGTTACTTGTGTCTTCCAAAATAATCACATGATTTTGTTTGAGGATTTCAAGAGAGTGATGCATCAGCATGGCTGGTGGAGGGGATGAGGAGGCGGCAGAGGACTGTGGGAAGAGGGGGTGCCCCTGGTGATGCCGGGGCTCCACGGCAACAGGAGTGCTGCACTGTCCACTCCAACTGGCTCCAACTCACAATAGGAGATACAAAGACAGGCAAAGAGAACCTTTTCTTAGGAGTTGGGCTAGTGACTTCCTCATGGGGGGAAGTGCGTAGAAGGGGGCACAGAGAAGGTTGCTGGAAGGATGGACACCCTGTTTGACCTGGTGCTGGTTGCATAGATGAATGAAGTTCAAGCTCATTGTAAGAACCAGGCCTACTTTAAACTCTGGCTCAAGAGCGCTAAGCTAAGAGGGATGAATGTTACCCCCAGTGCTCTGTGCGCAGGCTCCA